GCTGTCGTGTGAAGTGGTTTTTCAAATTCAGATTCTGCAGATATGAAAGAGAGTAGTTAATGTTCAAGGCGCAGACCTTTCTGCTTTATTTGACACATGTAAAATAAATGAGCGAATAAAGTGACACTCAGCAAGGCTTAGAAATAAATGCCATTTTTCCTCTTTCTGTTGGCACAGCTCTTATCAACCTTATTTTATTGGACTTTGTTTGATAACTCTTTTCAGGGCGAAAATAGTGGAATGTACAATTGTTCTTTTAAATAAATAAATAAGGCAGGCTTTCGTAGCCCAGGAAATTTGGTAAACCAATTATCATCAAGTCAGTGGAAAATTATGCACCTTCCTTTTCCACAGAACTGTGAAGATGCAATTATTAACTTCAAGGCCAGAAATTCACAGAGGAAGAGCTTTGTGAATATTCCAGGGGACAAAAAAGATATGCTATATGCACGCTTGTATAGATTAAATTTCAAGGTTTTTTTGATCGAGCTGAATTCTTACCTATCATCTGATTTAACAAGAGGTACTAAATCTGGACTGTGAAACTTCGGGACAACTGCTAGGTGGCAGCAACAGGCTAAAAGTTAGAAGCCATAAAACTTCACAAAAATGCTGCCACCTGGTGACCAGCTGGAGGTTTGCAGCCCAACTCTAAGAATTCTTGTTTTATCTATCTATGAATCATTAACGTTATAAAAACCTACATGGTAGCAATAAGCAGCTTAGGCCTGGCTTTCAATTGTGTGCCTCAATCTGAGGTAACCAGCCTCAGAATAACACATTCAACTTCTCTTGCTACTGAGGCCAATTGTATTACATATTATCCTGATTGATTGATTGATTGATTGATTGATTGCTGCACAAAAGTATTTAGAAATGTGGATAAGTTCCCGTGTATTTTTTTTTTATCTTGAGATGTTCAAATTATCCTCGCAGTTGCCCTCGGATTTCACCGCGGGGAGGAGCTGTACCTAGGAATAAAAGGGCCATTATGATTGTTCATTGGATGGCGTGAAATGGGGTTAACTCAGGAGATTCATTGGCGGTGTCCCAATTTCAACCAGGGCCTAGCAAACAGGGAAACGGTTCAGCTTTGAAAGCTGGGTGTAAGCTGGATTGATTAGTTAGGAAGCTATTGCTAAAGGCAGCACGAGTCGTAATCTGTCCCAGGAGCTCTCTCACGCAGTCATTTTCTCTGCCCTGTGAGACTCGACTGGAAATCCCTTAATGCACTATGCCCTTCATTTATTTTTTTGTGCTATTGGACATTTGAGAGCATTTTAGAATGCTACTTTCCCAACAGCTGCCCGATGATGGATTGGACTGAATTAAATACGTTTTTATTTCCCCCCCCCCCTCCTCTCCTCCTGCGAGATGAACAGGAAAAGACTACCATCTACAGTGCAACTGCGAAAGTGGAAATGAGTCATTTGGTTAAATCTGCAAAATAATAGGGAATATTACTGAGTCATCCAAGTTTATAATTCAACACCTGGATTTCACTTAAGCAAATCTGCAAATAAAGAACTAGCCCATTATTCAGGACCAAACTGATTTTAGCCTAGCAGTGTCAATCATCATTTTAGCCATTTTCTCTATCCACTGCAGGATGAAGAAAGCCTCTTGCGCATGTTTCCAATCAATTGCTTAGCAGTATAAAATTAGTTTTTCAGTATCAATAGAGCTGTTATAATTTAGGTAATATAGACTAGGGTGAAAAAAGATAGTTTTAAAAAACAACAACACAAAGTTACTATCTTTTTTTCTCCCTGGACTATGTTACCTAAATTATAACAGCTCTGTTGATACTCAAAAATAAATGTTATACTGCTTATATATTTTACAAGGATTTTTTAAACTCAACTCTGCACAATTTTGTATTTAAGATGACATAAACGGAGAACATATAAGTATTTGTAATTTATAAATAGTTTTTAAAAACCACAAAATTATTATTTATAAATTACAAATGCTTATATGTTCTCCGTTTACGTCATCTTAGATACAAAATCGCACAGAGTTGACTTTACAAAAAATCCTTGTAAAATATACCAGAGGTATAAAATTACTTCTTGCATATCAATAGAGCTGTTATAATTTAGGTAACATAGAGCAGGGTGGGGAAAAAAAGATAGTAACTTTGCGCTGTTTTTTTTTTTTTTTTAAACTATTTATAAATTACAAATGCTGATATGTACTCAGTTTATTTCATCTTAGGTACAAAATCATGCACAGAGTTTGAAAAAAAAAATCCTTGTAAAATATACTGGCAATCTTCACATTAAAAGAAACCAATATAAAACAAACACACTCTTTTATTCTGATTTCCAGAGGGGGGGGAAATTGCTGTATCTGTTTTCCGAATTTTGAGTGGTTGGCCCCCTCTAGTGTTAGAATTAGCAGAACAATGCATGAGGGTGTGGGGGCAGTGTTAAGTGTGAGAAATAAACTAGGAGAAACTATGGCTTAAATCATGGAAACTGTAGAACTCACGGAAAGGATAAGCCTTTATATAGACACATACAGCTAGGAGATTAGTACTGAATTTATAACAGGTTTCATGATCAGAGATGCACTGATCTGGAAAACAACCTGCTGGAAAAATCTGAATTAGCCTAAATAATTAGACTTTCAGCTTCCTTTCACTACTCTTTCAACTCATTACCTTCATGTTAAATGGCAATGTTGCCTAAAATTCGTATTGATGCTAGCCCCTCATATTTTTATATGTCGTGAGACATATAAAACATACAATTAGTGAAAATAAGTACTAACATACAATTAGTGAAAATAAGTACTAGACAAGTACTAAATAATCACCACAGTTTATAGCAGGTAGATTCCTGGTTTGTTAAAAACTGCTGTCTATTTGCTAAAATGAATAAGGTTCCTAGAATTATTAAAGACGGGGGTCCAGGAACCCGCCTTCTTCTCTTCAAGATGAGAAGTCACATCTATGTCATCTTACCTTAATATTACCTCCCCTTGTTTCCCTGAAAATACGACCTACCCTGAAAGTAAGCCCTAGCTTGATTTTTGCACATGCGCCCAATATAAGCCCTACCTCCCAAAATGACGCCCTAATTAAGATCCCGCCCACTCCAGAGTGGACGGGTAAAAATCAAGCTAGGGTGGAAATGGGAGAGTGGAGCTGCCCTACTACGTGTAGCTGATAACAAAGCTCTGGATCGATCCAGAGCTGTGTTATCAGCTGCAGAGGCCTTCAGGAAAGCCTTGCCGGGCTCAGAAGAAGTTCCTGAAGGCATCTGACAGCAAAAAGGAAGCCAGGGGGCAATGCACGCAAGGGAGGTTAGTCAGTGGATGACATCCCCTGAAAATAAGACCCGGTGCCTTTTTTTGGTGGCCCCCCAAAAAAGTATAAGACAGGGTCTTATTTTCAGGGAAACACGGTATATAAACATGTAATTTCAGGGTCCCGGGGCAATGTGTTTTCCAAACTCTTCCTGAAAAATCCATAGATTAAAATGTGAGTCCATATGGCCGTGTGGCAGTATATAAACAGAAGCCGATAAATAAACTTTCTCCATGCAAACCACGTATTTTATCCATGTGCTGCAGGGCTTCTCCATTGTTGACTAAAATACATTCTATACTTTGAGGTGGGGTTGAAAGAAAAAACACCGTAAACAATGTGCAAGAAATGCAAAGATCCCCTTTTATCCCTTGCTTTACTTTCTTCTACATAAAGCAGAAAAGGAAGAAAGCTGCTATTCAGATATATTCGCTTAAAGAATTTGCTTTCATAAGATAGGGTCCTTAAGCTATCAAACACTCATGAGAGCAAATGGAACACCAGTAACCAGAAATAGTATATCTCTGATTACCGCTGGCTATAAACCATTGTTTGCCTGGCTTGTGACTAGTCAGAAAGATGTTGGTTGATTATGGTTAATACATGGAAGTAGATGATTCTTATTCTGAGCCACGTGAGGGAATGTATATGTTCCTTACAGACTACATTTCCAAGATTTTAACCAAAAGGAATCCCAGCAATGTACAGTATATTTCGGCTTGTCTTATTTATTCTTAACTTTGATTCTTAACTTCACTTTGACTTCATTCCAAAACAAATGAACTGTAATTTAAAAACATGAAGACATTGGGGTCAACTTGCATTGAGTGGTGCGATGGTCTAAAGGTGGAGCTCTCACCTCACAATCAGGAAGCTGTGAGTTCGATCCTAGGTAGAGGCAGATATTTCTCTCTCTGGGCACAATGAATAAAACTCCGCGTTGGCGACAGTAAGGACATCTGGTCAATAAACACTCGGCTTCATTCAGTTGCCCAGACTCCACCCCACAAAGGATTATGGGGTCATTAAAACTTGATGGTGATTGGGATCAACTTGCATAAAACATTGTTCAAAATAATTTAGATATACATTTCCTTAAGTTATAGAAGGAACAGTGTACGTATGTGCAAACAATACATACAAGTCTTCCATGACAGGGTGGACTTCCAAGAAGTCAACTGATGAAGCACTGATGGGATGCACATTTGATTTATCTTCAATGAGGTCTATGTGAGATCATGGAATATATAGTGATCTAAATGCAACACCTAGCTGCATTTATAATTTATGCACGTGTACATTGTTATATGTTTAAACTTTTGAAATTGATAACTGAAGAATGGAACAAAACACTAGTTTAAAGTAACACACCGTATTGCCTCATCTAACAGGTTAAGAAAGTCCGTTGATCAATTGTGTCCATTTTCTTGTTCTTGTGTCAAGAATGCACATCCATTTATCTATTTTGATAAAATCGCAATGCTTCAGAAATGAAATACCCAAATTAAGAGTGTTCCTGTGGAAATCAACGTGTATTTTAGAAAGAGAGAGCATGGAAGTGGGACAACTGAAGTCTCGTGGCTTTATTATACTAATCTAGACAGAGCCAAACCAAGCAAGATCATAGCTGCTGACGGACGTACAAATCAGTAGAAACAAGGATAAGAAAATGTGATTTATGAATTACCGTGGTTACAAGGTTTCAAAACAGGTGCCGCACAAGTAGAGCTGAAATTCTGGGGTTCATCTGCAGATTAAAAAAAAAAAAAAGATAAATAAAACTACAGATTTCCAAAGTTGTTGGTTTTTTTAAAAAAAATTAAACCGCCATCAGAAATTTTCTAACTTTTACAGTTGTTATTATTAATTTTAATCCAAAGGGATCCATGATCCCATAGAATTATCCTGTCAATAAATAAATCTACAGGACCTCTGGGACAAAAGTACAGAGCAGAACAGAAGGAAAAATTGGGTTGAAGAATGCTGATTTAGAAAGCAAGGCTGATATTTCTCTTACTCAGGATTACACTTGTTCGCTCTGGCCATACAGGATTGGACAGTAAAGGTGACACTTTCATAGGTTCAGTGAGGGGTGTCAAACTCGCATCACAGCGTCGTCACATGATGCATCAGAACTTTTCCCCCCTTCGCTAAACCAGGCATGGGAATGGCCGGAGTGTGACGCATCCGGCCTGCAAGTTTGACAGCCCTACTCTACACGGAGCGGTCTCTAGACAATTTTCAGAAAAGGAAAAAAAAAATTCCTACGGCAAGCCATCTATGTATGGAACTTGTCCCACATAATTTCATTTAATTATTTCGTTATCTTTAAAGGCTGTTTTATGTTCTCATTACCAAAAAAAAAAAAAAAAGATTTCTGATTCTATCTAAAAACATATGTAACAGTTTAAACCCCAAACCTATTTCTTTGTTCAACCTCGTTATGCTTTAAATCAATGTTTCTAGTCATTTCTGGTTGCATCCTCTTCCCATTAGGAGTTTGAAGAATCTCATTTTTTATGGTCTCACTTGTAAAACTTTTACAACTTCGCTTGTAAAAAAACATTGTTTAGGCAGACATCCCTGCTACATTTGCCTTTGTGAGATCAAATGTATAAAAAAAAACAACGCTCCGAAGCAATTTCGGCCTGCACTTTTCCACTAATGGGTGGGTTATTTTTATAGTGGGCTCGCCTACTTTAAGAGAGAGAGGGAGGGAAAATTATTTACCTTTAAACCTGGGTGTTCGTTTTCTTCGATCGCGGAAAGCTGCCCCTGACTGCAGAGCCTCCAGCAAACTATCCATCACTCCTGTCTCATCCCTCTCTGTGAAGAGAAATGGAGGGAATTCCTTGTTTTCTGGGTAACCACAATAATGTCAAAGTAATTACAAAGAGGGATACAGGGAACACTCCAGCAATAAAAACCCTGACAGTTCCAAATTCGGAGAAACCTTTAATTTACTCATCAATCAAATTTTCAAGAGGTGAGCTTGGAGATTTTTTTTTAGCCTGCAGCCGATTCAACTTAGTTTGATTAAGTTCACAAACGCTGTGTCCTAAAAGGAGATGCAACGGGAATTTTAAGCATAACGCGACTTTGTACTCACACTGTTGCTTTCTTCTAAAGCTCTGGATGAAAACCAGAGATCCTCAATCGTGCAGAAATTCTCTTGCAAGAAATTTATCGGCGAGGCTACAATCTGAAGTGCCGACATTCATTCTTTGCGAAAGCTGCATTAAGCTATTCTCCTTCTGCTTTCTTTTAATGGATAAAAAGAGTGGATGGATCTCTAGTGCTTCCACTCTAGACCTGTAAATTATTCCGCTGAACTTTTATATTCTTTTTTTTTTTTCTTCCTAAAGTAACATTGCAATGAAAAGGAAAATTCTCCCCAAGATTGCTAGACACCAAGCAATCATTTCTCTTATAGTGCTAGAGGATCTTATAAAGCCTCAAGAGCAGCTGAAAAACTATGTGCATATAATACCCCCTTGACAATAATTTCCATCTGTAACCGGAGTAATTTTTTAAAAATTTTTTGCATGTATATACGTCGCTTGTTAAATAATTGAAGAATCTCTTTGGTTTCTTAAACATAATACTAATACTTCTGTGTCGGAAGCACCAAAGTGCTTCCATGGCGAAATAATTTGCTGGTGATATCACTGTTGCTTGGTGGATGGAGGCTCCTTTCACATCCCTGTGAATTTGCCCACCGAAGTGGTATTCATTAATCTACTTGTTGTCACCCGCTTTCGAACCGTTGGTTTGGTGGGAGCTGAAGCATGTGATGGGAACTCAACCTGTCCCGCGGCAACAACAGGTTTTGAACAGGAGGTTGCCAATTGTCAAACCAGTGTTCTAACCTCAGGAGCTACTGCGCTACATATATATGCAGGTCTTGGCGTGTTCGGGTCATTTCCCATGTAACATTGAGAGTATCTTGGTGACGTTTCGACGAGGTCCCACTCGCCATCTTCAGGCTGGTGCTTTCGGCTTCGTGCCAGTGCAAGCAGTGTGTGATCGGTGCTGCCGTCTCTCTATAAATACTGGTGGGGAGGTTGGCTGTGCTGTCATTTCTTGATTGGTTGATGGAGTTGATGTTTGCAGAAATGACAAACACAGCCAGGCCTGACACACAAGATTAAAAAGAACCCAATACACAAGCCTGAGGATGGCAGATGAGATTCTGCCGAAACGTCACCATAATAAAAGCACAAATATTAAGACGTGGGAAAATACCCAAAGAAACCTAAATACCATACATATAAATGCCCTTCGTGGGTATTTATATGTATGGTATTCAGCTTTGTTCGGGTATTTTCCCATGTCATTATAGTTGTGCTTTTAAAGTTATAGCGACGTTTCGGCAGAATCTCATCTGCCATCATCAGAAGCCAGATGAACATTATACAGAAGTCTGATGATGGCGGATGAGATTCTGCCGAAATGTTGCTACAACTTTAAAAGCACAACTATAATGACGTGGGAAAATACCTGAACAAAGCTGACTACCATACATGTAAGTACCCGCGAAAACTTAAGAAAACAAACATACATACATACATACATACAAGTATGTATGTATGTATGTATGTATGTATGTATGTATGTATGTAACTTTAGTTTTAATCAAAAGGAGTTGAAAGTAGAATAAGATGAATACAAGGTTAAATGCTTCAGCCATTTATGTACTGAAATATAAATGTTATAACTGGAGTTTTTTGGCTTAGCGATACCTGTGACTTACTCAGAGAAAGAGAAACAGTCTGGGAATTTATTTATTATTAAATTTATTGGCCACCCACCTTACCACAGGATAACCCAGGGGTAAGGTAAGAATTATATGATATTTGCTTTTCTTCAGCAAGGATTGGGTAGAAGTCAACAAGTTTAGTTTGAAATCTGGAGCACCAGAGAGGTGTCAGAAAATACAAGTATTCGTAGTTAATCTAAAACTGTACCACTGAGCAGAAGTCTGCCAGCTGTCAAGACCTTCTGGTAGCTGATTTGCAACACTGAGACACGGCAAAAGAATTTCGAACTTTTAAAACTCCTGACTTAAAAAATAGTGAATGAGGTTTCTAATTGCTTTCTGAGCCTAATTCAAAGTTCTTCTTGGGGTGAAGAAAGCCAGACACGACTGAGGCTCAAATTGTCTGCAGGACTGTCTACTCCATTACCTTAAATTCTCTACCTGTCTGCTTTGGAAGCCATATTAGTACCAGAAGCTTCCACATTGCCACATTCCTATGCCTGGGAAAGTACAAGGTGGGAGGGATTTTTAGAGTGTTGGTAGTTAGACATAATAGCTTTCTTCTTTTCGGTCAAGGTCATGTTATTCCTGCACCTGGAGGAGGAGTGATTGAAAGGATATCTCAAGTTGGGACGGTTGGTGATTGGACCATGGCTTTGACTTTGACTTTTGAATTACTAAGAAAATGTGGAACTCTCAGATTTGGGTTTTCCCAGATGTGCCAGTATAACTACTCTAATAAAAGGAAACTTTGAGAAAATGCCTGTCTGCAAGTTTTTAATTGGAGTTGGGTTTTTCTTGAACCCTGACACCACCTTTCAAGAGGACATCATTTGCAGATGCCAGCCCTTAGGCTGATGAACACCGAGAGCAAAGTTCTGCTTTTTCCACTGATCAATTCCACTTCACTGTGGAATTGATTGCCTGGGGGCAGTTCAGGTGGCACCTTAAACCTTGTTCGTTGCCTCAGGCCATCGATGTGATGATTTTGTTTTCTATTTGTTATCCTTTTCCTTGTCGTTGCATTCCAGTTTTATTGTAAGAGCCAATGGAAGGGTAGGTTAATGAACAGATAATTCTGGATACAAGAAATCAACGAAAGGCAGGACACTTGTATTGGTTTAAATAATTAGTAGTGTAGGAAATTAGCACCCACCCCTCTCCTAGAGAAATATTTTTTCCTAAAAGAGAAGCAGAAACTCAGAGAGGCAGAAACTCACCCCCCACCACCACCTTTGTCAATAGGCCATTAAGATCTAGGGCAGGCTATTCTACATAACAAAGATCTACTCCAGGTAGAGCCATAATAGGAATTGCCCAAAGCCCTTTCATTGCATCATCATCCAGCAAGACTCAACCAAGCCTGGGACTCAGGACATCCTACACAGTTGCCCCTGCGTGGCCTCATGGGAGTCTGACAACCAATCAGAATACAAGCTCAAATTCAAACCCCAACAGAGGGCATAAAACCAAAGGGCTCTCAGCATTTCTACCCTTTTTCACTCAGGAGCTCCAAGCCATGTGGTCCTGTCCACCATTAAAATAATCTTTCCAACGTTGTAGCCATGTTTCCAGTGTCTTTCTTCCTCACTTGGAACTGAACCCAGAAGGACACTTCTTCCAACAGTAGGTATCATAACAAATTAAGAGTTTACTTTTATTCAAGCCAGATCTAAATTGTGTAGCTTTGTCATTCGTCACCAGTACTCTATATCTCATCTGGAAACAACCTGACAGCTGGCATTTCCTTGCCAATTACCCCCATGCACACTTGAAGTTCGTAATGACTTTACTCCAAATCAGGAGAACTGTCCTGTTGACATCCTCAGGCTGCATTAAAAATTGAGCGTTATTGATACGGGAAATGATTTCTGGAGTCAAAAAGAAAAAAAAGAAAACCAAACTTTTTATAGTTATGCATTATCACCGGGAAACTCTCCCGGGCAAGCCCTACGGAAGCTGAATAATCTAGAGCCCTAGGATACAATTTCTCCAGGCAATACAGCTGCTTTATATCATCCACACACACACACCCCAACTCCCAAAAAAGCAAAAATATGTGTGACTATCCATTTGCAGATAGGAGAATAAGAAATAACATTCAGAATGTTAACTACAATGGTGGAGTTGTAGTGGAGGGGAAGAAAGAAAGAAAGAAAGAAAGAAAGAAAGAAAGAAAGAAAGAAAGAGGGAGGGAGGGAGGGAGGGAGGGAGGGAGGGAGGGAGGGAGGAAGGAAGGAAGGAAGGAAGGAAGGAAGGAAGGACAAATACTTCTTAGCACCCTAACATTATTGCAGAAGCCAAGAGGCACTTGTGACATTAACACAATCACAGTGTGCTACTGATTTTGCAACCTATTATTTTTCTCCCTAACGGTGCATTTTTAAAAGATCTTGTTATGAGAGCCATCAAGCAGCCTACATCGACAATCAGCATAGAAAGCTGAACTTTATGTCAGGCTATAAACCTTATTAGATTTGGAGAATTCCAACAGGCGTCAGGGAGGAATCTTAAACCAGCTCTAGGTGTTCATCTATTGAGATGAGATCCTGATAGATAGCGTTGTCTTGTTCCATCTTTTGACAGGTTTTTTTTTCCCCCTTTTCCGATCCTTGCGTTATGCGGTTCAAAGCGCTGTTTGACAGTGTCCATGCAGATTGTCGGGTTTTTCAGTTACTCCTACCCACATCTGCTCTTCGTTGTTAGTTTTGGGCCACTTCACTTTCTCCTTGAGAGCAAGCCAGCACAAAGGAAGACATTAATCAGAAGGAAAGAGGAATCGGCGCCTTCAAAAGAAACCAATTTTGCAATCCGCTTTCTAGTTATGAGCGTGATGAGATGCTATGGATTGTTTCTTGCCGGGAGCGAGAAAGAGTTAACTGTGGGTGCACGTCCTCACTTATTAAATTGGCATTTGTATAAAAGTGGTTACAATTTGAGGATGAACGAAATACGAAAAGAATATGGAGGGGATCAATCAGACTTAAATGCAGCAGGGAATTTTAAGTAAACCAGTTGTTCTGCCTTAGCAAACCCAAAGTTGCTCTCAATGCCATCTGGAAATAATCAGGTTGCTGACTATGTTACCTGTTTTAATGCCTAGCAGGTGCTTTTTCTTCTGTTGTTTTTCTAGTTTTTCTTTTTCTGCTTTCTCTTGAGCCATTCTAGCACGCCTCTGCTTTTCTTCCATTTCTTTCCTTCTCATATTGTCTTTTGCTGCTTGCTAGAGAAAAAAAAAATCATTATCGAATATTAAGATTTGTTTTTTTAAGATTTCACAACAGAACAATGACATATTTTTACTTGGTTCAGACAAACGCAGTTGGCTTAAAACTTAAGGGGTGTCATCCACGAGGATCAAAGGACCAGATCTTCTCAATTGATCTGCTTCCTGGACTAGCACGCCTTCTGACATTAGACTGACCCACAACCTGTAGCTGTTTTGGAAAACCATTAAAAGGAGGCTATGTTCTGTTGTGCAAAACTAGCACACATTTATTCCAACTTCAAATCCCCATTTGGTCAGAAAGTTCACCAGAGGCCCTTAGATGACTTGGTCTCCTGGCCTGTTTTTTGTACTGATGGAGAATGATGATGGTGTGAACAAAGCTTCACATTTAGCTCATACGTTTCTGAAGGAAAAAGGATTTTGGTGTTAACAGCTCAACAATTGAACAATAAGCTGAACAGGTCAATCACATTTTCTTCCAGCGAACCCAACTCCCATGCTTCCAGAAGACAACAATGATAAAACCAGTGTGATGTTGCCATCAGGAAAGCTATAGAAGAATGCCTGCATAATCTTCAAGACTTGAGTACAGCTTGGGGTGAGGTCTATGACAATTCTTGCCACAGCCAACTTGTTCCAGGAAAACCCGCCATGGCCAAACCGCTGTGGGCCAATTTACCATGGGCCAAAAGTTACACTAATACCAAAGAAATAGTGGCCTAGATTCATTAAAGGAAGGATGCAAAACAAGGGACAGAACAAAATGGGAATGACAAAAATTAAAATCATCTTCATCATCTCCTTTTAATAACTCCATAATCCCTAACGGGGTGGAATCTGGGCAAGTGAACGGAGCTGAGTGTTTACTGCTGGATGCCTTTCCTATCAGCAATGCGGAGTTATATTCAGCAGATATATTCTCAACGTGCCCAGAGAGAAACGTATCTACCTAGGATTGAACTCTTAGCCCGATTGTGAGGCAAGAGCTCCATCTCTCGGCCACTGCACCACTCACAAAAAATTTAATTTTTTTTTTAAAATTATTTTAAGTAATTAAATTGAATTGTTAAATTGTCGCATGGCAGGTTATCCTGCAGTATGTTGGCCACAGAAAGTTTCCCCACAGTGTGTTGACTGCAGCAAATGGTCCCATTCCCCTTGGGGTGGAACAGAGCAGAAATCTTAACGAAGACAAAACACAAGAGGACAAAAAGAAATGCAAATAAAGCGTAGATTGACTAGATTAACAGGATCACTCGCTAAATACCCAATTGATTAGAATTAAATACTATTCGAGGGCAAAGATGAGGAATAAAACCAATCAAGGATAATAACAGAAGGACTTTTGACCCCTGCTATTTCTGAGCAGCATCTCGCTTTGTTTATTTGTGCCTTACCATGAACATCGCTTTGAAGTTGCTCAAGTCGGTGAGGAATTCTTCTACCGAGACTTTCTTTAAATCAATGGCATAATATTCCATAACATCCCGGTACAGATTTTCCATGCTTTTGTGTATGGTAGAAAGTTGCTTGAACTGCTCTTTTGCTTGGACGAGAAAGCTGTGCTAGGCTTGTTAAAGTTATATTCAGACTAAAGCGGTATTACAATAAACCAACACGGAGATTTTTCAAAAGCTTTGCTAAGAATATTCACAAAGTACTAAAATGGGCAGTGCTGGAGAAACAGAGTATAACACATAACTTCCACCCCCTCCCCAATAGCATTCCTCTCATGATAGACGTATGTTTAATATCTTTTAGAAAGGATTTCTCATGGGAAACGAATGCGATCAGCGATTAGGCATTCCAGCAACTTATTAAGGGCTGTATAAAAATTATGGGGGAAAATTATTTTGATACTAAAGTTATCCAAATACGATTCTTTACTATAATGCTTGTGGTTACATTTCTACTAAATTGTTCTGACCCAAACCTGGTTACAAGAGAGTAAACACAAGACAAAAGTAACAGCACCACCTTTTCCCGTTTCATTTACGAATCCTGTTTCTTCACAGATAAAAGGCTGCTTCCAACTAATTAGGCTCCGACAAGAAAGAGCCTTGCCAAGTTTTTGCAAGGTTGCCAAGAACAACAGATAAAAGTTCCTAAACAATAAATCAAAGAGTCTCCAAACACCAACACAGATATTCTAACGTCCACCAGGCTCAAGTATCAAACTTCTTTCTCAGCTGGCTTTTATCTCTTAAGGGAGGGGCCATTACCTTGCAGCCTTACTCCCAAGTCGCCCGTGCTGCTGCAGCTGCTCTTTCCTTCGAGCAGCCCTGCACGCATACTGGGCACAGGCTCCTCGGGCACCTCTTCATCACTGCTGCCAGCCTCCACAATCTCCAAAGGCAGCGTTCCACTCCCCGATAGTCCTGGCCCCATCCCTGCATCACGCGCAGGCCCCTCATCTGAGTCCTCGCTCTCCAAGACCTCAGCCGTCCGCACCTGCTGCCAGCGAACCACAACATAAATATTATAATCCATATCTATCTAGTGCAGCGGGGAGATTTTGTTGTATGTACGTCATTAAAAATATATATATATTACAAGCTTTAACCAGTAAAGTGGTTTTTTTTAAAAAAAAAAGGAGCGTCAAAATAGATCATTGCAAATAAACAGACTGTGCCACAATCCATCAAGCATCTTAAATCTCACTATGGGTCCCCTGCCTTGACGCTAAAACTCAAAACATTTCAACATTACTGGTCTGATAAAAGGTCTTATCGGAAAGTAGGAAATCTTCACAGAATGATTGATTGTCTAGGGAATGCTGCTAGAAGGGACAGAGTAAGATTTTGATGAAGTATTGCGTGAATCATTTGTCCCAGATAAACTTGCCCAGATGCATGTATTTTCATGCCAACTGCTGTCAATTTTTGTCAAAGCCAGGCGATGTTTTATTGAAGTTCAAAATTCTGGGAAAGGTTTTAAATAAACAATTAGGGAGGAAAAAAAGCCAAGCATGCAAATAATTCCATTGTAAAGTCCTTACTCGTGTATCTATTTACTCGTTGCAAGTGTTTAATACGTTTTTCCTATGCAACATTTTAGAAGACTTTTCGGTACCAAATCGTTGCATCGAATTTACCAAGTTTATGATTGCATAAAACACTTTTATTTATTTTTTTTCAATTGTAGCACTGTAGGTTTTCTTGTCTCTGCAAAATGGCATTAAAAATAAAATGGATAAAATAAAATAAAAAATTGTTTAAGGTTGTTTGGCTTTATTTTTATATTTCAGCTCCCGATTCCCCAGCATTTACAAATTCTACATTAAATATCAAGCTAAGAAATCAAGGAAAGGACTAGCTGTTAATGATGCAATGTTTCTAAATTTTCACTAAATATAAATCTTCATTCTGAGATCATTTATTACGGCAAGTCTTGCTGGCAATTGGGTGCCCTTGTATTATAGAAATCTCTCTTACACACACACACATACACACTAATCATCATCATCATCACCTTCAAATGGAGGAAGTGGAGATAGGCCTCAAGATTAATCCTTACTACCGTGTTTCTCATATAATAAGGCCGGGTCTTATTTTTTTTTGAGCCCCCCCAAAATGGCTAGGCTGTCTTTTCGGGGGTGACTTAATTTCCCCCCCCTTTACATCTTTGGGCGGGTGGGCAGCGACGGCTTGGATGTTGACCTCAGCGTTGGTGGGGCACTTCGTATCGGGGTCAACGCAGGCAGCACCATATCCGGGTGTGCAACAAAAGTACTTCCTAACGGCAAGCCTCCCCCCCATTTCACATGTTTTAATATAGGCCTTAATTTGGGGGGGAGGGGCTTAATTTCATTTCATGCCTATAAAACATGCTGGGACTTCCTATTGGGGGAGGCCGTATTGTTGGAGAAACAGGGTAGTAATTAGGGTCCAGTTAGTTAATCATAGCTCTCCTATAGCCTCTCCCCATTTTTCTGTAGAACAGAGATTTCATTTCTTCCATCTCTCCCCCCCTTTTCCTCTATTATTAGGTAGAAAGGAGGAGAATTCATGTGGACATAGTCATGTGTTTCTAAGTATGAGACTGGTTTATGTGTCTAGGAAAGAAGGGTTGAGAATATGCAATAAATCCTAAGGAAAAGCAAGTGAAATATAACATAACAATGTACCATTCTGGTCATAAAATCAATATTCAATTAAAAATGGATTTGCTATATTTAAAAAGGCCCTTCCAAATACGAAACAAGACATGCAGGCCAAAGAAAAGATAATGAGGAGCATTAAAGTATTACGTTGTTGGGGGATTTTTTGGCTTTAAATTGCTTTGTAAATCATATGTGCACGTTTAAGGGTAACTTCATAAATGCTTCTCAAATCATTCATCTTACTTACTGTTTAAATCCAGCATTAGATAGCAGAAGAGGTACATAAAGATTGAGAGCCCTTGTGATGGCTCTGATTTTTGCCACCCAGGTACGACGACTTTTATCACCCAAATATGGTAAGGCAATATTTGAGGGGCTGTCATAGAGGAGAGGGGGGTCGAGCTATTCTCCAAAACACCTGAGGGCAGGACAAGAAGCAATGGGTGGACGCTAGTTCAAAAGAGATCCAACCAGAATTGCTGTTGGTGAGAAAAATTAATCAATGGATCGGCTTGTCTCCAGAAGGTGTGGATGCTCCATCACTGCAGGTTTTCAAGATATTGGACAGCCATTTGCCCGAAATTGTATGGGGGTCTTGAGCAGAGGGTTGGATTAGAAGACCTCCAAGGTTCCTTCCAACTCTGCTATTCTGTTATGCTCTGATGTCACTCAGATTTCCTTCAACGTTATGTTTGCATGGAACTAATGGTTGATTTCTCCAACATGTCCATCTAGAGCAGGGGTATCAAAACACAAGGCCCACTGGCTGAATCCTGCCAGTGATGTGGTCGGATCTGGCCCGTGGGGCCATCTTGGAAATTGTAAGAGGTCGGCCAGCGTGGCTTCAGCCCGGTCTACTCAATGCAAACAGGAAACATGTTTGGGGAATGGCGTCAAACTGGCCACACCCATCCAGTCGGCCAAGGCCCCATCCCACCTGAGGTCAATCACAGCCCTGATGCAGCCCTCAATGAAATTGCGTTTGACATCCCTGATCTAGAGTAAACCAAATGGTTTACAGCAGAGCTGTAACAGGCTTGCAAAAACCTAGAACACCATTAGATGGCAAGTAGAAAGCACCCAGAACCTCTTTGATACCATCTGCTGGTCTTGCAAATCTAGGTGTAAGTTAAATACAACAGTTTGTGACAGTAAGGTCTTAACTGGGTTGCGTGTAGAATCAAAGCTTAGGCTGTATGAAGAGCATTCACAAATGCTCTTGTGATAGTGGTTTGTTTTTGTTTTACTTGACTGGTTCAAAAAACCAAACTATTCTATTTTCCAACCATAACAAGTCGCTAGACAGCTTCTTCAAGCTATGTGGGATCATCCAACATTTGCATCAAATACACCGTTTTTTCCTGTACACATTTTTTTTAATTAGCAAGCACACAGACATTACTAGCAACGGATGTAATTCCACTGTTCCCCAATTATTCTCTGTCTACAGGGAATGTTAACAGCAGGCTATTACATTTTAACAGTGTTTAAAGATCAAACCATCTGTTTAAGTGTCGTGTGTAGATTTAGCTTAGAGTACTTATGCATTTATGTGAAAATTCCAATAACGTTTTGCTTTGTAAGCTTACAATGTATGCATGACTCTGTTGTCTGCGTTACAGAAAGATCTCACATTAAGAAATATTTCCTAATACTTCATCTTGGAACGAAGTACTGTCAACAGCTTGCAATATTACCAGTTTTCCAAGGAGGGAATTGGCCATCGTATAGAACTGTCTCTTTAAAAGGAAACAAAGAACATTTCTCATTCTGTTCCATGGAGTTAGAAAGACTAATTTTCACTTTAAACTCATAACCTCTACAAATTAGAAACGGAAGAATCGTTAAGCCTTGTTGACTGCTGGGGGCGGGAAGACCTTCATTGTGGTGCTTTTAGGCAAAATTGTTTTAAAATGTGAACAGGGAAACACATAAAGAAATAAGGGGAGACTAGTATATAGTTACTTCAAGCTGTTTAGCTCTCATAGGCTAGCTATACCCTTCTGGGGTTTGAACCCAGGTCACTTACATATTAGGCAGATGTATTAACCTCTAGGCCATGGGCTCTCCTTGTTTTGCTGGCTGTACCGGAGGAAGATTAAGTGTTTTTCAGGGCAACCTGGTCTACCCAAATATGGTAAATTCTGGATTGGGGCTGAAAGGCAAAAGAGGAAGCAGTATGCTCCATCCCATATTTGGGTAGACCAGGTTGCCCTGATAGACCAGTCTCAAAACACTTATTCTGGTACCCTAATTTTCTAAACCACAATCAATATAACTGGAAGAGCGTGCATGATTGGGATGGATGGATGGGAGGGGAGGAGGGAGGGATGATTTACTTTTTATACAATTGCATTAAACAATTGTATTAAACAAAGTTTCTAGAGAGACCAGAAGAAGCTTCTATGCTACACCAGAGGTGGTATTCAGCAGGTTCTGACCAGTTCTGGAGTTCTGGATAGTGGAAATTTTGAGTAGTTTGGAGAGCCGGCCAATCCCACCTGACTGGCCCCGCCCCCATCTCTTCTCTGCCTCCCGGGTCCCAGCTGATTGGCTGGGTCTTCTTTGGTTGCCCTGCACAGGAGAACGGAGCTGGAAAGCAGGTTAGTGGATGGGGAGAAAAAGGGAATTTTACAGTATCCTTCCCCTAGAGTAGGGTGGGAATGGAGATTTTGCAGTAATCTTTCCCTGCCACACCCACCAAGCCAAGCCACATCCACCAAGCCATGCCCACAGAACCGGTAGTAAAAAAAAATTTGAATCTCACCACTGTGCTACACCCTCTTGTAAAAGCAACCTCAGTTTTTACTAGTCACAGACCAATAGTAACGAGATGCTCAGACTAAAGGAGGACCTAGATCATTAGCATAATTATTTTGTTACTTACTGAAAATGATGGGAAAAAGAAGCGTTTAGGAGCCAGATGATGGATATTTGGTAGCCCTTCATGGAGGTGGACCAACCCCCCCAAAAAAGACATTTTATCTGCTTTACCTATGTCAATTCAGGCTTTTCCTTCCACATAGAGGGACACAGGACTTCCTTTATAGGTAAGAAGCAAAACCAAAACAATACATATTAAAGAAACCTAGCAGAAGGACGATTATAGGATAGTATATATCATGCAATAAATTATTTTAAATACTCTTCAAAAGCTTAGGGAAATTAATCAAATGGAATATAAGTTATGCAAATACATTTAAAATACATTCTGAAAACAAAGCGCATCAGTGATTTAACAACAGCAACAAAAGGATATGGACATTTTTGTCACAAATTTGTCATGGGGGTCTTCGGGTTGAGGAAAAGTCTCCAAATCCTTCCCAAGTTGTTTGATCTGCCCTTCCATCTGTTTGAGGCACTTTTCCAAGCTCTCCACTGAAACTAAATGCATGGGACCACAGAGAGGCACTTTTAATTATTAATAATTTTTTTAAGGATGAGATACACAGCCTACTCCAGTTTCATAGCATAAACAAGTCACTTTAGTCAAAATAAGATAATGGATGCATTTACTATTTCAAGAAACCTTTTTCGTGGCCAATATAGGATTATAAGCATTCCTCGTGGAAATTACAAATTGAAAGATAGTAAGAATTCTATCCATGGAACTCATTTCAAAGGGAAAAAATATTTTCTAAAGAGGTCCTGGGTCTAAAAAATTATTTATAACTTGCAAATATATTATTATTATTTCCAGGACTTAAATATAACCAATAACATACATTTGGCCAGAGGTCTTGACTTCATGTACCCAATAATCTGATCTTATTCCCAGAACTATTTCAGATCTTACGGTTGACCTGCTAGTTCTAGTAACTTTTTCCCACATGGTTTTCCAGACGGTTGTGTCTGATCAATGTTCCTAAACATCTCATTCTTTGAGCATCAACAAATTAGAACTTCACACTTCCTTATCAAAAAATGTCTTATATCCTGAGCTCTCCTGTAGTACCACTATCTCTTTCAAGGGGATCAACCCATGAGACCAAATGGCAATGTCCATGAGATGCCTGCAACTGTAAATAGAGTTAAGAATGTTCAATTAAAGAAACCAATCAGAATGAATATAGAAAACTCCTAACATTGATATGCAGACCAGAAAACTTTCACCCAACACTAACATACTATTACATGCTTTTTTTTAAAAAAAGGAATCTAATCTCCAATTTTATTTGCACCAGGACACATACAAACAACAAAGAGCCCCTCAAAGTGTTTCTCAGCCCTGTGGCACTAATAACCATGGGACATCTAGGCTTGTTTGACTGCTTCGATAATCGCACGCTATTCCTTCTAAAGGTGCTTTTTTTCAAGAGGCAACTGGACTTTCTGGTTTTTCTTTAAAGACGTTTCCCTTCTCATCCAAGAAGCTTCTTCAGCTCTGACTGGATGGTGGGGAATGGAAGGATTTACACTCCTTGCAGACAGCTGGTCATTTGCATTCATACTGAGAGTCGTTGAGGCCACTTGGAGGTCTGTCTGTGTCCTCAGGGTCACCTGAGTGGTGCAAATGAGCCTGGAGCCTTCTTGGAACTATTGAAAGGGCTATGTTGTAGATTGAAGATAGATGATGTTGTATCCCCCCCCCCCCTCAGTTGAGAGGGCTGTTCAATTTTGACATAGATGGCCTCTTTGACCCCTCTTTCAAACCAGCTGTCCTCTCTGTCCAAAATGCAGACTTTGCTATCTTCAAAAGAGTGGCCTTTTGTCTTTTAAATGGAGCTGGACTGCTGAAACTAGCCTTGATTTGGGTTTGTTCTCCTATGTGGTTTCCTGTGTTTATGAAAATCCAGTTACCTCTTGAAAAGGCACCTTTGGGACAATCATGACCTGGATGACTGAGAATCTCCATAGACACTATTCCTTCTACTTACAGGCATTAAGGAGCCTCTGTGGTGCAGTGGTTAGAGTACAGCACTGCAAGCTACTTCTGCACCCAGCTGCCTACAATTTGGCAGTTCAAATCCCACCAGGCTCAAGGCTTCCATCCTTCCGAGGTGGGTAAAATGAGGACCCAGATTGTTGGGGGCAAGATGCTGACTCAGTAAAACTGCTTAGAGCGGGCTGAAAAGCCCTGTAAAGCGGTATATAAATCTAAGGGCTATAGCTATTATCATTCAGCTGCTTTCTTTCTGAATGAAAAGCTGAGATAGAAAAACTTCATGATTGGACAACAGCACAAAAATAATGTGTCTGCAAAGACTTTCTTGGATACGACAAAGGAAGAGGAGTAGAACAAATGCAAGGTTTTTTTTTAAAGGCATGAAGATAGGTGAAATCAGATTTAATTTCCTAAAACTTTTTTTTTTTTTTTTTTTTTGCTCTGGCCTTGTAATGATTAACCTTTTATTTCAAAGGCATGCATGGAAGCCATGGAAAATATTTTAATTCCCCAGTTTGCTGCTTTTTTGTATGGTAACACTCTTGTACTCAGGATGGTGTGATCTGAAACATAATCACTTTTCCCCCGCTCTCTATTCCCTGCTAATTTAAGATAAGGGAAAGTCATCTTGAACAAAATAGAAATAACTGTGAATGGAAATTCATGACTGCGGGCATTAATGCATGCTGCAAAGTTAAAAATTCTCCATTCGGAAATCATTCAATGTGGCCAGAGAGTTTAACAAAACAAAACATAAATATCAGTTTTAATACAGACCTCTGCTTGCTTTGTCTAAGTGCTGCAAGTCTTCAAGAAAACTCAAAACATTCGGGTATTTTTCTTCACAGACTTCAGCCAAGAAGTGAAGCAGTGTTATCGTCTGATCAGCTGATTTGGTATCCTTTAACTAGGCAACAATAAATACATCGCTAAAAGAATTAATATAGTTCCGTTTCATCTTATTACGTCTAACTTGGCATTAGATGTAATACTGAACTTAGACCGACAAGTTTAAACGTGACTTGGGATACAAAAGGGTCTTAGAATGGAGATGGCCTGATAAGCTATAAGTGTCTCTGACTTCTATCAGGAAAGAAAAGAGGTTGCACATTGAGAGATAAATTATGACATCTAACTTTAAAATTCAGCTGTGAGGATGATATTAAGGTATCCATCATAACTTGACCCAAAAGGCACATATCCAGCTAGTGGCATACCATCAAGGGAATCAGAGTAGACAATATCACATGTGCCATCTTAAATACAACATGCACACACATATACACATTGTGGAGGCTATTCTATCGGGCAGGTGTATTTCAAATTTCCCTCAAAATACTTGGAGCTTTAGAAATCTTAAGCTTTCAGACAGGGACTAGGGGTGACATGAGAGCAGTCTTCCAATAATATCTGAGGGGCTGCCACAAAGAAGAGGGAGTCAATCTATTCTCTGAGTCCAAAGCACCTGAGGGCAGGACAAGAAGCAGTGGATGAAAACAAATCAAGGAAAGAAGCAACTTAGAACTAAGGAGCAATTTCCTGACAGTTAGAATAATCAACCAGTGGAACAGCTTGCCTCCAGAAGTTGTGAATGCTCCAACACTGGAAGTTTTTAAGAAGAGATTGGACAACCATTTGTCTGAAATAGTATAAGGTTTCTGCAGGGGGAACGGGGGGGGGGGGGGGGCGGTTTGGGCTAGAAGACGTCCAAAGTCTCTTCCAACTATTCTATTCTGTTCTATTCCATTCCAATCCAATTCTACTCTACACTACGCTACTCTATTCATATCTTCCTTACACCAATCCATCATTTTCTATCTTCTGAAGCCATTCTTGATTCCAGTATACCAGTTCATCCATTATCTTTTCTTCTTTTAGCATCTCACTTCTCGCCTTTGGAGGATCTTACCAACTCCCTATCTACAGGTTAACTACTGCTTTCTCCTTCTTCCTCTTTCTCTTTTTCCATTTGGTCTTCCTTCATAGGTTGCCTTGTGATTTGGTCCTCATTCAATCTCCCTACATAATCAAAGTCACCTCAACATGCTTCTTTTCTACTGGCCATTCACTCCTGCATTCAATCCACATTTACTTAGCATCTATTCATTCTTGACCCTACCTGTTATTGATAATACACACTTATGCAGTAGCCCATCTATTCTGCATTTTGACTAACACCACTTTCTTGTGACCAACCAAAATTCTACAAAGTGGGCGTATGTGCATGTTTATCTACAGTTGTGTTCCGTTTTGTGACAGTCATTGCTCACAAATAATCGCATGGACTAGCATTTCTGGCTTTTTAAAACTTCTCCGTTTCCCCAACCTTAGTAAATGCTGTCTAGTTTTCCCCTACCCCACATATTTGCTCTAGATAGGCACAGCATTTTTTAAATCAAAGAAAATGAGCATTTTCTAAAACCGCATTCATTCTGCTTCACTGGATGAGAAACACAAAAATTAATTGATTTCATGTGCAAACTATGTTGCGGTTGGTAGACAGAACAGATATTTACATCTACTTTATTGGGGGGGAAAGAATATCGGCAAATTTACATACTTATAATTATTTTACTGGCAAAGGAAAAAAGATAAACAGCACCAGCGAAACATCAAGAGTTGGAAGGGACCTTGGAGGTCTTCTAGTCCAACCCCCTGCTTAGGCAGGAAATCATACACCACTTCAGACAAATGGTTACCCAATCTCTTTTTTAAAATTTCCAGTGGTGGAACATTTACAACTTTTGGAGGCAAGTTGATCCACTGATTAAATGTTATAACTATCAGGAAATTTCTCAGTTCTAGGTTGCTTCTCTCCTTGATTAGTTTTCATCCATTGCTTCTTATCCTGCCCTCAGGTACTTTGGCGAATAGCTCGACTCCCTCTTCTTAGTGGCAGCCCCTGAGATATGGGAACACAGCTATCATGTCTCTCCTAGTCCTTCTTTTCATTAAACTAGACATCCCCAGTTCCTGCAACCGTTCTTCATATATTTTAGCCTCCAGTCCTCTAATCATCTTTGTTGTTCTTCTCTGCACTATTTCTACAGTCTCAACATCTTTCTTACACCGTGGCAACCAAAACTGGACGCCATATTCCATGGGTGGCCTTACCAAGGCCTTATAAATTGGTATCAACACTTAACATGATCTTGATTCTATCTCTCTGTTTATGCAGCCTAGAACTGTGTTGGCTTTTGGGGCAGGTTTGACTGAAGCACCTGATTCCACCCACATAGACTATTGAAATACTTACTTTACATAAGGAGCAGAGGTTGTACCCAAATGTCTGTGCATTGCGCGATCCGGCGTTCATGTAGTTTCCCATTAACAGGACCAGTTCCAGCAGCTGACTGAAGCTTCGGCTCTCCTTGATCTCTTCACAGGCAGTGCTGACAGCCATGATTTCGGGCTTGAGGTTATTCATTTGCTCCTCAAACTGCAGCTTAAAAAGAATGGCGCCCAACCGGGGTCGCAGTCTCGTTACGCTGCTCATCTGGTTGAAAAGAGAAGAAGACCTGCCTTACACTTCACGATTTTGTACCATCTCGAGATAAGATGCGACCGTTCTCGATAGATCTGGAGACTGGATGGTGTGAATGTTGTGAAGGAAAGACTCCCTTCCCCTCCAGGTAAGTTGTTAAACATTGCAGTTGATGGAGCTATTGTTGGACTGCAAATAAATGCCGCGAAAGGAACAGGGAGATACTAATGAGAAGTAGCTCTTTTCAATGCGTAAACCAGCCGTTTTCAGCTATAGGGGGTGGTGCTCATCTCCATTACAAAGCTGAAGAGCCAGCGCTGTCTGAAGACATCTCCATGGTCATGTGGCCAGCATGATTGAACGCCGAAGGCGCACGGAACACTGTTACCTTCCCACCAAAGTGGTCCCTATTTTTCTACTTGCATTTTTACATGCTTTTGAACTGCTAGGTTGGCAGAAGCTGGGACAAATAACGGGAGCTCACTCTGTTACATGGGGTTTGGGATTCGAACCGTCGACCTGCCGACCTTTCTTAATTAAACAGTGTGTTGTCTGGATACAAATATTTTTAGGAAATAATAATCAAGGTGTTTACAACAGTGTTCATTACATTGGTATTAGTTCAATAATAATAATAATAATAATAATAATAATAATAATAATAATAATAA